GTTGGCGGCCTCCGCGCCGCCTGCCTCACCGCGGTGCTCCTCGCTTCGCTCGCGCTTACAGTCTAATCATAACTGAGCCTGCTCGGAGTTTCGGTTTTTTATTTTTTGAAGAAAAGCGCATAGCGCTTTGTAAAACATGCAGCGAAGGAACCCAGCGATTACTTATAAATTAAGAATGGAAAAAGGGCATGTTTTGGTAGATGCAATAAATCTTTATTACACGTTGTTTTTTAGGATCACTTTTACATTCCTAGACAAAAGAGATGATACAAATAAATATAAGCTGTAAAACCTATGGACAGAACTATTGACAGGTTCTTTGTCTACAGATCACCTAAAAGAAGGTCAAGATCAGTGTATCTCCAAGGGGCTGCGAATTCCCATAAAGACAGCTACACCCAGGAGGAGACCCTCGGGCACTTCATTTCAAACGGAAAGAGGGAACTGAAGAAGGTAATAAGCACCTAGACCACAGAGCATTAAACCCACCATCGTACAGCGCAGCGCAAACAGGACGAGTGTTCTCACTCAGTTCCATCTCAGTGTCTAATTACGGCTTTTGCAGGTTATGGTCTTCCGATTTGTGTATTAACACAGCAGAAACAGACCCACAAGAGTCACACTGCTCTTTTTAAACCCTGGTGCATGGTAAACATTATAGATGAGAAGAGAGGATAGATCCAGTTTAGAGGTGTCTCTCTGAAAGTTGGCAAACACTCTGTTTTCAGTGGAGGCAGACTTACTACATCAAAAGAAAAAAAAAAAAAACCAAAAAATACTCTTGAACAGAAGCCTGATCTGTATAATGCATCGATGTAGTCCAAAATGCCAGGCTAGATGTGTGTATTTTTGAAGATTCAAGCAGCATGCATATATTTTTTAAAAAGCCATCAGACCTATATTAAGAATTTTAAGAAAGTGCTTTAATTCTTACGCTTCGTTTTCACATGGTGCTTGCTCCCAGAGCCAAAGACCTACTTTTACTGCATGTAACTTTTAAAAAAAGTTAGATCCCATTATACAGATCAGAGCAAAAATGAGAAGGATATTAAACATTCCTGTGAAGAGACTATGATTGCACACACTGTCCAAGGGCCTCTTCCAGGAGTCTGCTGGATTTCCTGTCTTTGGCTGTTAACCTGCAGGAAGCCCAGATGGTTCAGATAACACCCAGAGAGACGCAAACTTGGCAGGATCATTTTTTAGAAACTTCAAGCCAGAACTCAGTGCGTTTTGTTGGGCTATGACAATATATTTTATCTTAATATCATTGCCACTGAGTATCTATTCACGGGTAAGTCAATCAACATGAGAATCTAAGCTTCTGTAACAATCTGAGATTGCCCATGAATACACTAACCACCTCTCTATCCACAGCTCCGATTTAAATACAGTGACTAAACATCCAATTTTATTATTTTTCCATCCTATTGAATTTCTTTCACCTTGCTAATGAATTTCTACAAAATTAAAAGCAGAGCCTTTCTGACATATTAACCAGCTAGCTTATTAACACTAAAACAAGAACAGTTTAGGTTTGCACTGTGATTTCCACTGTACCAATCCTGCCACAAGGTGAGTTTTCAGCTTTTAATATCAAATTCCCTATGGAAAAGCAGTGACTGAAGTAGTGCACACATGTGCAAACACCATTGTGTCTGTGCATGCATATTCATATAGAAACATATGTGTACATATCTAGGTACACATATGTGTATATGTATTATGTTGCCCCTTGTTTCGTTTCCATTTTCTGAGCACTTAAGCCGTACAATTATCTTTTAAAACGCTGAAGTACAGAAGATTATGTGCTAGAGGGAAAGAAGATGACACTACGTTATGCAACAAGAGCCAATTAAAAGACTCTTCGTACACAAACAGTGGACTATAGAAAGAAAGATTAGGCCAGGTTTCCATTCCAGGTTGAAAGAAATTTGTCCGATGGCTACTCTTTCAACTACAGGCAAACTCCTCTTTCCTCCACCAAAACTAAAAAATATATATTAATCTCGTGATCCAGAAAAGTACTCCATGAATCAAAGCAGCTGAGTCAGAATTTAACCCGGGCCCACCTGGGCAGCTGGCTCACCGAGGCATCATGCCCGCAAGATGCAGAGGTGAGCTCTGTGCTGAGTGTTCAGTTCTTTCTGCTCATGGGAGTCAGATACAATGGAGTTCTCCAGCCTGGACGAAGTCACTCAGTGGATACTTAACGAGCACACAAGGTAGAGTCCATACATCAGAGCATTTCTAAAACCAGGCAAGTCCTCATACACTCACACATGTCAGTCTGGAGGAAGTCATCAGTGAGGGAGAGGAAACAGGTAAAAACATTCATAGGATGACAGCCAACAGCAACCAGAAAAAGTAACATCCCAAGTCTCAATATACAATGAACTAAAACTTACAACTGAGCTGTGAGACACTAGACAGGAACACCTTACTCTGTCTTCAACAGGGCAGTTCCACTTCCCTCTACCCTGCCACACAAGCCTGCAGCATTACAGCAGCCTGCTTATTCATAGGGAAGCCTTTAGGAGGAGGCCATCGAAAGCAGGAGTTCTTCCTCCCTTGTTTCAAAGTACAACCCCTGGAATTAATACCAGATTCCATTACTCAGACTCAGTTACACAGGGCCTTCACTCCTACCAGGCCCCGAGTGGTCCGGGAGGTGGAAAGGGAGAAGTTCTAACGTGGAACAGGCGAGGCACAGAAGGTACCAAATACTGAACCTCCTTAGACCCCAAGCAGAGGGACCATACTCACAAGAACAGTGCACTTAAAGATAGCTTCGCTTTATGGTGCTATGCTCTTTACCCAGCCTAAAGGGGAAGAGTAGAGTCAGCCCTATGAGCCTGCTAGGAAGAAAGCTCCAAGCCAATGCTACATTTCATATGAACAGTGGGAGATGTGAGAAAATGGCCATACATCACCCCACAGTTCAAAGACTCAGCATGGGTACTGGTTTCAAATGCCAGGGGTAAAGATGGAGGCAAGAGAGAGGAAGATAGCTGTGGAGCTGGCACTGGTATGCAGTTGTATTCGTTGACAAGGTGGTTCCTATTGACGGGGTAAGGTCTGTAGGAGGTCAGTTTAGAGGAGCTCTTAACTTATGCCTGTAAACAAGTAAAGGATTTCAGTTTCTATTGCTTCCTTTCCAGAGAGCACAAAGATGCTTCCGAGACCCTTCTTTGTTCTAGGTTTCTGAAAGGGAGGCACAGCTAGCTGTGAGCACGTGATGACAGCTGCCATCCTGACTGCTCAGACCAATGTATTAACCCCAAATGATGATGCCAGTCTTTTAAGCAGGAAGAGGAAAAAACTAAGCACCTACTCAAGTTTGGATACACCTTCTGCTTTTTAACCTCATTTCGTTCTCACTATGAAGTTCTGTAGCGGTGGTTCTGTTGAGATGACTTTCAACTCTGTCTTCTTATTGCCCAACAGCAAAAAAAAAAAAAAAAAAAAAAAAAAAAAAAAAAAAAAGCCCAGCGCAGCAAAAGGGCTAGAGCAGAAGGAGAGACGGTGATGCTGTGTGAGGTGATCCCCATGCTTCCCATTGCTTCTAATACACTTTAACGTACCTCATGCATTTCTGATTTCCTAACTAAAAATCTGTTTCCCACAGAGGCCAAATGCTGAATTGCAAGCACATATCTTCCTGTGGCTCAATGCACCTGGACTGGCACAAGTCAGTTAAACAGCAAAGAGGCCATCTCCAGGGGAAAGGGCTTGGAGTCTGGCTGGGAGTTCTCTCTGCAGGTTTTTACTTGACTCTGCTCTCAGAAGGCAAAGGCTGTTCACGCCCTGGAGAGGAATTGCTGGTTTTACTTTGGAACCAGCCCTCGTGACTGTGGATAAAGCTGAGAACTATGGGTGCCTGCTGAAGAGGATCCCCCTGATTTCCTTCCAGTTTTAGGCCTGAAGAAGTAAAAATGAAAAAATAAACAGAAAAACCCCAACAATGTCACCTGTTACTCATCAAAATTAATCTCCCAAGAGCTGACAAATTTTTACTGGATTTATTCTCTAATCAGCCTCAGCTTTCTCCTCTGTCCTAGGTTCCCCTCTCTCTATCTCTGCTTTACAGCCAATTTAGCCCTAACTTTACTGACAAGAAGTGCAGAAAAGACAGCAACTGGATTTGTACCTCTACTGTTGGCTAGTCTGCTTACTAAAGATTAAACTCACCTGGATTTTGATTTTTTATTTGAAGTGCTCTCAAAGGTTGAGGCATCTACCTGTATCTCATCTTCATCCTGCAGAGCAGCTTCTAGAGCAGCCTGAACTTTGGGAGCAATGGCTGGACCCTCGTAGTCTCTAGTTGTTCGGCTGGGCATGTCAAGCTCCAGTAACACAATATTCTCTGCCTGAGAAAGTAGAAGCAGAATCAAGTCTGCACATTTTCATGCACGTTAATTCTTTCCCTCCATAAGTTTGTTCTAAAGTACTTAATAAACAGATGCAAGACACTAAAAATTTACATCCCATAGAAGAACTAACAATCCTCAAAGATTCACATGCCCCTGATCAGGGAGATGAAGGCTGTAACCACATTCGGGCTTACCCTGTACCGGGCTTCTGGACGAATCATCATGGACGTCCTGGCGTGCTGGCTCAATGGCCTCTTGTATCCTACAGCAGACACTGGTCTTTTCATCATCTGCTGGTTACTGGAGAAACATGGATACTCAATCTATTACACAGCAAAACCAAAGACTCCTCTTTGAGCATATGAGCTAAAACAACTGCAAAACCTACATAGGAATATATCCCAGGTGGGCAGAAACTAACAAGGCTGCATTTCCAGGGACAGTCCTCCACATTATCTTCTACAGTCAGAGACAAGGAGGTTAAGAGAGTTATCCTGTGCTATCTGTCCCCCACACAAAGCAGAGGATTTCTACATAGTACTACACAGACCACACATGCATTCAGTTGCACCCAATTTTCTAAATTTGCTCTAGGGGATTTCCGGCGTAGAGGATCAGGATCTATCCACAGCTCTTGCACAATCATTTCTGAGAGCTTTCTTATTTAAAACAGGAAAGAAATATGATATGGATTTATGCTATTCTAATGGTGAATGCAGTATTATATCTAAATTACATATAATTATTGGGATCATCTAGAAGAAAGATGTTAATCTTCCAAGAATTTTCCTAACCCTACGTTCCTATTTTAATCAATCTACTAAGAAGAATAAAATCTTTATTTGATAATATAGTAAAAAATTAAAAACTTTGGAGAGGGCCTGTTTAAAATCCCAATTCGATCCCTCTGTTGGGGTAACTCTGGACAAGCTGAGGGCTGGCTTTACATGACCTATAATGCCATCCTAAGTAAAACTTTAGGAGTACACTCACTCCAGACGGGTTATGGGATGCAGTTTCCACTGGTCCTCCTCTTCATCAAAGAACGATCTGTTCATGATCTTATTCTTTTCTTCCAGTGGAATAAAATTTTCAATAATCAGGTGCCTGTAAGCAGAATATACAAGAAAATTAACAGATGACCTTCCCCACTGCTCCTCTCCCGCTGACTTAATATTCGTTTTCTCATGTTTAAATCTTGTTCTACAAGCATGTGGAACGCAGTCCCTCCTTTCACTCCCCATCCAAAGAAACCATCTCTGTTAGAGTTAATGGCAGGCAGGGAAGTCATGGGACTTACTTTAGCTTTAATTCCCTGGTAAGCTCATTCTGGGTCTGTTCCAGTTCCTGACGCTCCTTGATGTGCTCCTCTTGGAGATCATGGATCTCTGCCTTCACAGCTTGCAGCTTGGAAAATAACTGGAAGAAACAAGACGAGCCAAAGTCATAACTCTTCAATGTTCCTCTCAGTTTCACATGTAGCTTGATATTTTCCTAACCCACTGCACATGGAATCATTTTCTTTTTACCTTTTTGAGCTTTTTGGTCTTTATGTCCACCTCTTGCTGTAGAGAACTATAGGTCTCCTTCAGTTCCAGAGTTTCCTCATCCCGACTTTCCATCTGTTGTTGGATTTCTCGCTCCCGACGTTTCTAAAAAACGTGATATGCTATAGTAGAGACTACAATTATGCACCTGACACACATGAAACCTAAACTCAAGATATTTTTACTTCCCTGGGATCCAGGGCTTTTGCTTTAGCTTCTAGTTCTTCCCATCTCTTGCCTTATAAATACCAGAAGCATGTGCTCTTCTTGGTCTTTATTATGCTGAAGGGCCTATTGGAATTGTCATCAGATAGTGTGAGTAAGTGCTTGGGCTTCAATTAAAGGAATTAAATGCTGTGTTTAGATTCTTTTTTTCCTTTTTATCAATTCACGCTATGCATTTCAATTAAGCAATCATCAACAAAAATGTGTAACAGAAAACAAACTTTTATCCCACAGTAAACATCTCTCCCTTGAGCTTACTGCTGAACTGTCACTCTCTGGGGTCTTTCAATTAGTTCTTCACTCATAGATATTTCCAGTCAAGATAGGACATAAATCTTTGATGTGAAAAGCTGGAAGAAAACTATTATGAACCTTTTTTACATATTTCATATAGCAACAAGAAGGACACAAGCCCTTCCCCTTTCTTTTGCGATTAATGATTGCCATTAAGCTAATTTCAGGATTAATCTTGGGCAAACTTGTTTATAGTTCCTCCTAACATAATGTTTCGTGAAAGTTCTGCAGCTAGAATAAATGTTCTTCCCTCGTACCTGTTCTGCAATTTCCTGCCGTTTCTGTTCCAGGATTTTCTGCTGTTCATTTGTGTGATCCACAATATTTTTCCCTCCCACTAGAAGTTTGCTTTCCATTGCCTGAAAGAAAAAAAAAAAAAAGTTTTTCTCTCTCAGTGACCATCCAATCAACCCTCTCTGGAGAATACAACTCTCTCCTGTGTATACAGCTTCTTTATGAGGGCAATTCCCTTACTTAACATCCTGTTTAAGTCAGCTGCTTCAAAAATTACTATTTTTTTAAATTCCTACAAAAATTGTGGCATGAACAAAACAGTAACTTGCTTAAAATTACACACTGCTGCAATGTATGGCAAATTTGAAGAACTAAAACGCATGCTCATGTTAAAAAAAAAAAAAAAGTTTTAATGATTCATTCCAGAATGAAGTATTTTTGTTCTATGGCTTGTAAGAAGATTTATAATCACATTTTATTCTGCTGATGGCTTACTTAACATCCTACGAGAACAGCACATAAGAACAATGAAGCAACTTGTGAATGTTGAACTACAGAATTAATGGTGCAAATTAAAATAATTTCAACTCCTATCTAGAAATAGTTTATTTTAAAATCTTCTGACCTAAGCATAACTCATCACTGTTTTGAAATCTTTTGAAATATCTTTCCAAACTGGGAAACCTGCCGTTCTCCCCATAAACCTAAATTCCCTTCAAAAAGTCTGACAAGCAAGAATTCTACCTTGATTTTAGCACTCAACATTTCTGTTGCTTCCTTCTCTCGCCTCAGGTCCTCCATTTTCTTTTCCTTCTCTTTCAGCAGTCTCATCTTTTCTTCTGCTACCAAGCTGTGATCCTCAACAATAGCTTTCTTTTCAATTTCCAGCTTTTCTTGTTGTTCCCTCCAATAGTCATCTTTGTCATCCCCGTCATCCTCACCTTCTTCAGTATCCTCCTCCTCTTCCCCACCATCTCTCCTCCTTTCCCTCCTCTTTCTTTTGCCAATAGACCGTTTTTCCAATTGTGCCTTTAGTCGAGCAATTTCTTCCTGGAATTCTCGTAGCAGGGCATCCTTAGGATCCTCGTTCACTCTTGGCTTGTTTTTGATGTTTTTGGCACGGTTGGCATATCTCAGTGTTGTAAGAGTTTCCTCTACATTGTAAGAGGCAGGGCCTATATTGGCCACCATCACAGTCTTGGCATTGCCACCTAAAGAGTCTTGGAGAAGCCTAGTTAGTTTTGAGTCCCGGTATGGAATGTGTGTGCTTTTGCCATCTACTAGGGCAGATATAACATTGCCCAAAGCTGAAAGGGAGAGATTGATTTTAGTAGCTTCCTTCAACCTTTCCCCCTGCGCTCCAGTCTTAGCTTGGCGCTCGCTGCCTGCAAGGTCTACCAGGTTAAGTTTTCCGACACGGATGTGGTTCTCTCCATCAAGTCCTAACTCACTGCATTCAATAGTGATCACAAAAATGGCATGAGAACGAGAGCTGTGCTCGTTCATGTTGGTGGCGCCAACAGAGCGGTTTTGGTTTCCCACATTCATGACATGCTCTATCTCTTTGACACTCTTTGTAACAAAGGAGGACAAATCCTTAACATATACCCCTGTGTCTGGTCTCTCTTTCAACTCCAGCCTCTTGGATTGATCCTTTGATAACAAGTCTCTGATTTCTTCTTGGTATATCTCCAAATAAGAAGCTCTAACTAAGTACTGTTGATTTTGCGATCTAGAGATGTGGGTGAAGATGTGGTCAAATGAGTTGGGGATGACCCCTCTTTTTTCAGGATCACCACGCACTCCTTCCATGGTATATGTTTTCCCTGTCCCAGTTTGCCCATATGCAAAGATCGTCCCATTAAACCCTTGCAAAACAGAGTCCACAAGAGGTCGAAAGGTCTCATCATAGAGTTCCACCTGTTTGGAATTCCAGTCATACACAGCATCAAAGGTGAAAGTTTTAGGCAGTTCATGAGACGTTCCCCTTGGATTCTTCACTGAAACCTGCCCTAACTTGACATCCACATTAACAACTTTTTCGTATGAAGCAGCCTTCTCTTTGCTGTTCATTGGCCGGCATCGTACCACCACCCTAACAGACTCGGAGCTCTTTAACTTGGACATGACAGCAGGTCTGTGGCTGGCGTGATCTGACCAATGGATGATCCAGGGCTAGAAACCTAAAAAACAAACAAAGGAGGAGTATGTGAATGCAGTTTTCAGCAGATGACAATTTTACACAAAGCCAAAGATTCAGCTCATCTCTCTGAGCAGCGTTTTGCATTCATTAACTTGTGAGGGATTCTGAAGCATAAAACAAGGTACAAGACGAAAACTTTAGAAAGCGCTGAACTGACACAGTATCATTTTACAGAAGCCTGTCCATCAATCAGTATCGTTTATACAAGCTATGTTGAAAAGAATCCTCATCAAATCACATCTTTACAGCTGGGAGAGATCCTTTTCTTGACCCTTAGAACAGTGGTAATGCTTTTTAAACCTTTTAAAAAAAAATTAGTGCTTTGTCATGGACTCCCTTTGTGGTCTGGTATTAGCTTTTTGTTTTAAATCTCACACGGTGAAAAACCAAAGCAGAGTCGCTCTTTCCATATCGTTCAGGATGCAGCTCATAGGCTCTTGAAAGGAAATCGGCCAGGTACTTAGATCAAGCGTTTCACCTACCCACCAGAACTGGAGAGAGATTGTAAAACAGAAATATAGCACTTTCAGAGTTCCTCTTCTTAAGCCTCCTGTCTACTGAGGAAACATTTTCTTTTTTATGAGACGTTTATATTGCAATAATTTTGCCAATCCCCTTCACATGTTATGTGATGTATCATCAGGACCATCCAGCCACAAAGAATCCTGTCAAAGAATGAAGTGACAGCAGATAGTTGCTACACAAAAATATACACACAGTCTTGCAATCCAGCTCACTGCAAAGGAAATCATTAAAGCCACCAAACGTAGCACAGTATTCTAACACTAACAAATATCGTAAAACAAAGCAGTAAGAGGAGTAAATTACCCCAGTGAGGTGGATGCCGAATTCTGTTGGCAACTAAGAGGAATATTTCCACCACCTAGTTTAGCTAAGCTGCAATGCCTGTTACTGTAGAACGCCTGTTTAGTCCGTGTTGTTGCCACTGCTCAGGATTATCGTTTCAGTGCTGTAAAGTCAATTCTTTCACACCACAAAATTCAAAGTCACTTCTAATCTTGCCCACGAGGGGGACTGAAGTGAGACGCATATTCTCGCCGGTCTCCGAAGTCTGGCTGCCTCTGATGGGAACAGTTCAAGGCCCTGCGCTCTCTGCATCCCTCGGAGCCACAGAACTCCTGATCTTTCTATCCCATTTCCAAAACTTCCTTGTCGATGTTGATTATGCATTTCTATCTGTTGCAAAAATACCTTTAGCATACTTAAAACAGAGGGCAGCGTTCCCAGCTTACATTCAGTAGAGAGTGGAAGGGAAAGCTATAAAGGTGGAACAATCTGCATTATGTGTTGTCCATTCCTCAAGCACCCAGAGGACACCAGGGTGTGATGTGGACGTTAGCCAGGATTTGCTCTTCTCAGTACGCTTTAGAAGGTCATTTCAGCTCCTTTCATATCACTTCTTATAAAAATTTCATAAAGCTCTCAGTGATTGGAGCCCACCCTATTCTTTCTCTAATAGGATTGTCCTAATGGATGGGTTCTGCAAACTAACACTAGTATCTTCCTCAGCTAGAACTCTCATGCATCTGTTTTCATGGGGAAATTGAAGACAATCATATTTGCCTTAGATATTTCAAGGAGAACTGCTTCACCCAGATCTATGCTATTATTTTTCTTTTGCCAATATACTTTGATTAGAATCTTCCATAAAAGCCAGCTCTATAATGAAGTAAATTCCACAGTCCTGCTCTGGTGCACCACCTGATTCAGTACCATCTGGTTTACAAGATTCAGCATTAGTCTAAACTCATGTTGCACAAGATCCAGCTCACAGATCCATGCTGTAAAGATGAAGAAACATGCTGATGCATTCCCCAGTCATTAGCACAGTGAGCTACCATTTAAATCGGAACAAAAAGACTGTGTTATTACTCAGTGGTGGCCTTACATTAAAGATCTAGAACTGCACAGCTTGTGAAACGCAATGAGAAGATTCCTAATAAGCTTTTTTTTTTTAATGTATTTTTCAGGTAGGATTTTGAATACTTCCACAAACTGCAAGTAAACGTAAAACAAATACACACTGGAAATGCCAGGTAGCACTGAAATGTATTCAGTTTGGCCTCCGCAGGACTTTCTTGCTGTTCCACTACCAGCTGAGTGTGCAGCAAAACCAATGCATTCTGCCTGCTTGTTTTTTTTTTTTTTTTAAACTCAATAATTGCATGTTTGTCTCAGGAGATCTCAAATGAAGTGGCAGAGAACTTCAGGAGCACAGCTAGAGGACTGAGAAAGAAACCAGCACATTTCTACCCCAAAATCTCTACCATCAGTCTTCACTAAAAAGTTTAACGTCGAGGCAACGACTAAACATATTTAATAATGTGTTTGGAAACCTCAGGATAATCTTCAGAACTTCCTCGATGTCACGAGCGAAAACTACTCGCTCCCTTGTTATAACCACGGAAGCATTTGGTAGTTAAAGAGGAAGGTGCGGAAGGTGCATTGAGGTGACCACATTGGAGAACAGAAAGTGCTTTACCAGTCGCATAATGAATTCAGTCTACTGTAGGAATCTTGGATTGCCACTGAATAGGAAACAGAAATACATTTCCCTCCTGACTGGCAACTCCAGATAAAGAGGACCTTATTGTCTGACCCACAAGGAATACGTATTTTAGAATATGAACGGAGAAAGAAAATATTTGAAACAGGGACAAGACTTGCAGAAGTACAAAAAGCAACTCTCCCTCTACTCATCGTGAGTAATTATAAATACATACAAATATATACTTATTCCATATTTACCTGAGATAATCGTACTGGTCCAAATACACAAGGGCCAGGTTTTTTTCAGATAAGCTTACATAACAAACGAGGCTTCACTTGCCTGCACTATTACGGTGAACGTTCGCATTGGCAAATACTCAAATTAGGCATGAGTTCTGAAAAGAGGAGCCTTTATTTATTATAGTAAAGTTAATATCCAAAATATTATTTAGATAAGGAGTACAGCTTTTGTAAGAGATGCTGGCTAGAATTAAACAAACACAGTTAACTTAAACTCCCAGTAGTCTGCTTTTTTTCAAGATTATTCACAGTCACCTGGAAGTTAAAAGAGAAATATCCAGCACGTGTCCTCTCTGCCAGCACTGGCAGAGGTATGTATTTAACAAGAATTACGATGTACGTGTATTCCCCGTTCCTTTGGGTATATCGCATTAATGTGAGCTTGATAACCTTTTGCCATTTTTCCCCATTTCACTTGCCAGTCTCTTTTCAAAGTCACAAAAAAACTCATTTCACCCCAATTTGGGCTATTTTCATAGCAACCTATCATGAAACATCTCCACTGTATTTAGCTACTGCCACAAACAGTTTACTGAAAGTATAACAAACTGTTTCTTCTCAGACTTACTTTATAAATCATATATTTGGGTAAGAAACAATTTAGTTTGTAGCATTTATATTGGCCAAAAAGATTGAACTGCATGGACCAGGTGGAAAAGGACTGCCTAGAATAGCTTGGAAATTAAGCGTACTACAGGTCACAGTACCATTTGTTCTTACGCTTTAGGCAAGGATTTTCTTTTGTGAAATTATTAAGTCTAAAGCAATCTGGATCAGTTCCCTAAGCATCTTAATCTGCTAGATTTCAAGGATGAGATGAACACACTTTAAAACGTATTCCAGTTGACCAAAAGGGGAAGACAGGCGGAAATCAAAGCATTTTCTTTTCTTTTCATGCAACACGAGACCATACCTGGAAAAATAAGCCGTGCCACAATTTGACTTCAAGTTAGTTTAAGCTCATCATCAGAAAGTTTCAGACGTTAGAGCTGGTTAGCTCAGCCGGCCGGTGCCTGCGGAGCACCCGGCTCTCAGGAGGCCTCTAGCGCTACTTACTCAGCCTCACGTTCAACCTCACACGGGCTGCAGTCCCGAGGCCGCTCCGCTTCCTGCTTTGAGCTTGAAGATCTGCTCAGGAAGATTTTCTTGGTAGGTCGCCTAAATTCTTACCTCCTATTTTTGTGTATATCTCCGGGTACTACTTAAACAATTCCATTGCTTTCTTGCTCTTTAAATCCTTCAGATATTGTGGGCTTGTTATGTCTTTGCTTAATTGCTTTGTCTTTTTCCCTTTATTCATAAGCCCATCACCTCTTCTTTGTTGTTGTTCTCTTCCAAACTCCCTCCAGTTTCTCCCTAGCACATCACCAAGGACTGAACAGGGTACTCCCAGTGCAATTGCCTGGGCTAGGCAGACGTTTGCCATCTCTCTGCCCACACCGCATCTTCTGCTACCCTGACACTGTAAGCCCTTATTTAATTTGTTGCCTGTAATCATCTTGGTTTGTTTCAGCATCGCTGCTTCTCGGATGCCACCCTCCCACAGAGAGGCCATAGAGTTACATAAACCCCAACCCCATGCGCGTTCGAGGTTGTCGTTTCAGTTCTGGTGCAAGTTCAGCTGCGCTTCGCCGGTCGGCTCACAGCTCTGACGCCCCGCGCAGCAACCGCGCGAAGCGCCAGCTCTTCGGTCGGCACCGCGGCCGCCTCGC